AGAGAGAGAGAGAGAGGCTACTTCCATCGCTAGAATGAGCAAAATTGGAATATGAATCTTCCACTGAACATGGAAATATACACTGCCACTTTTTTTTCTACTTTTTTTTGTTTCCGTCCGTGTGTGTGTGTGTGTGTGTGTGTGTGTGTGTGTGTGTGTGTGTGTGTGTGTGTGCGCGCGCGTGTGTGTGCGTGTGTGTGTGTGTGACCTCACGCTACTTCCATCGATAGGATGAGCAAAATCGAATGAATCTTTCGCTAGAACACGGAATATACGGGGGCTGTTCTCACATGGCGATGGTGGGATAGGATCTGGACACTGTTGGGCACTGGGTCCAAATGGCCATATTATGCAAGGCATGGACCTCCCCGACTGACAACACTTTTGAAAACAACATGTTCAAGTTAGAGAGGAGAGCGGTCAAGTGGACCCTCTGGAGAAAACGCTGTATCCATGCTATCGAGGGGTCCGCATAGCTGGGCAAGAGGTAACAAACATGATAAAACAATACATTCAACAAGAACTCATGATACAGTGGCAAAAAAATAAAAACCAGCTTGAGCTGTTTCATTCATCAAAAGACATAACACAAGCAATTCATCAATTCTCTGGGGACTGGTTGGGCAGTGAGGATGGGGGCCGGATCGCATCTGTCAGCTGGGATGGCAGGGCCGCCCAGGAGTGAAACCAGGAGCAACTCAGGAGAGACTACCGTATTTGATTGAGAGACTGGACTACGGTGGGCCAGGAGATCCCGCTGCAACCATCAACAGAATTCCCCGACCCTTCCCACCCCCCCAGCTGGCAATGGTCGATAATATATGCAATGGTACGGAGCAAAGTGAGCAAGATCACAAGCAAGACCACAGGCTGATGGGACCAAGTAAGGAAGCAGCAGGTCAACAAACAGGACACGGAAGGTATCGGCGGATATTCAGAAGAAGTAGAAGTAGCCGCTAGGGAAACATGCGGGATCTGGCGGTCTGGCGCAGACTGAAGAGGCGGCGCCCTGAAGTGTACTGTTGTCCAACATACTTGTCATTAACCCTGGACAGTTAATCCCCTGGAAACAGGGCAATCAATGTTGGCAGTCTGTCGGATGTAGAATGGAACGCTGGACCCGCTTTCCAGCAGGTGCTGCTCCCCACCAATAGACTGGAGCACCCAGGTCTCTTGCTAGACGGGGGTGCTCTTATCACCTCTCCTAGCAAAGGCACTGGGGTAAATAAAAAAAAAAAAAAAAAAAAAGGAATATACACTGCCTCGTTGAATCTGCCCGATACCGGCCATAGAACACTTTCTGCAATCAACGGCGCGGCATGAAACAAACCCACAGCGAAAGAAGACTCCGTTCATAAAGCCACACCAACTCCGACTGTACCAAGGGCAACCGCCCACCCAAGTGGCAGGCTAAATTGTAAAAGAGCGAGCCCTCCCCCATTCCAAAAGCGACCCCACCCCTGCGCCCCCACCCCTCCCCGACTCGCACCCGCGCCGATTGTGAGATTTTTCACCAGTTGTCCTGAGAAACGACCCCGCGGGACTTCTTTTCCGTGGGCCCGCTGGGAGCGTCTGCCGAGGACCGCTTTTCCCTTTAAGTATTAGGTAGATATAGTGCGCAGAGCAGTGAGGAACAATACAGAGAAGACTAGCATGGAAAAAAATATATACATATCAGGGCTGCCGCCAGACCAAGGGCCTTGCTGCACTACTGTCCAAATGTGCAAAATGAGAATGAATCTTCAGCTAGAACATGGAAAGATACATCGCCATATTTTTTGTCTTCTGTGCATGTGGAGAGTAGTGCAGCGAGGCCCCAACAAAACCTCAAACAAAAGCAAATGAATCTTGGATTAGAATATGGAAAGATACTCCACAGCACGTTTAGTCTTTTGTGCCCTCCGGAGCAACACCACGACAGAAGCTAGACTGAGAAGACTTAATCCTCCACTAGAACATGGAAAGATACGTTGCCATATTTTTCATCTTTTTGTCCGTAAGGAGAGTAGTGACGCAAGGCACAACGGGAAGCCAGCATGCCAGCTGTTGGGTGGCAACAGCGGCCAGGGGACCTTGCCAGCAACAACGGGCCCGGCTCAACTACTTTCCAAATGTGCAAAATGAGCCTGAATCCTCCAATAGAACAAGGAAACATACGTTGGGATATCTTTTGTCTTTTGTGCATGTGGTAGCGACAGCTGCCTGATTTTGCCCGCAGCGGTGCCTGGCAACGTATCTTTCCATGTTCTATTGGAGGATTAACGTTCATTTTGCACATTAGGAGGGTCGCTGGCAAGGTCCCGGCCGCTGTCGCGATGCAACTCCTGTTTTCCTCATCTGTTATCCGTGGCACCGAGCGCAGAACTGCACGCCCATTTTAACCTGGGCCCGGGGGGAGCGTCATGCTGGGACCGCTTCTTCCTAGAAGATATAAAAGAAAAGAAAAGGTTGATTAATTGATTGGTTGGTCCAATCGAATTGATCGAACCGACCAATTGGATCGGTCCGATTGATGCAATCTCTCTCTCTCTCTCTCTCTCTCTCTCTCTCTCTCTCTCTCTCTCTCTCTCTCTCTCTCTCTCTCTCTCTCTCT